CTTAAGATACAGCACCACTTTCATCCTTTTCTGTTTATGTGGTACTGAGGAATCGTACCCAGGGCTTCATGCATGGTAGGCAAGCACTCTACCACTAAGCCACATTCCCAGGCACCTTTAAAAATCTTAAAAAGAATTAGGTCATCACAAAAATACTGACTATGGATAGTTCAAGCATATGTATTTACAATGTTCTTCAAACAACAAAAATCTTTAGTTTTGATTATCATTCCTTTAAAAAAAAAACTCAGCCTTCAATAAGCTAATTCTTTTTTTCAGTTGGTTGCGGGTCTTGAACTCAGGGCCTGGGTGCTGTCCCTGAACTTTATCACTCAAGACTAGTGCTGTACTACTTTGAGACACAGTGCCACTTCTGTTATTCTGGTGATTAATTGGAGATGACAGTCTCATGGCCTTTCCTGACGGGGCTGGCTTTGAACTGTGATCTTCAGATCTCAGCCTCTTGAGTAGCTACAATTACAGGTGTGAGCCACTGGTACTCAACAAATAAACTAATTCTTAAGTGCTGTTATTGAAAAATTCTTGTGTGCATTTTACAGACTTGATAGGGATAGAACTTGCAAAAATACAACTTCTATTTTAAAAAAACAAAAAACAAAAAACACAACAATGCGCAGAGAAGTCTGAGTAAACCAGAGCAAGGAACCACAGACTGGCTGAAGTAAACAGAGGGGCTGTGGGCTCAGAGGCCAGCCCACAGTCCAGGTCCCTGCCACCAGCCTCCTACCTTCTTAGTTATTCTCTAAACCCCAGCTTCAGAGATATTTCCAAATGATACATGTAAAGGACCTCTCTAGTCACTTCTCATTGCATGCCTCAGGATGCCCCAAACACCATATCTCTATGGAAACCCACTGTCTGGCTTATGCTTGGTTCTAATGGTACCTGCTCCAGGAAGATTTCTTCTACATCTCACTCTCATAATTAATCACTCTTTTCCCTGACTGGCCTTTGTACACCCTGGTTTAATTTCTGCTACAGAACCCTAACTAAGGACAATCTACTGGAAAGTTAACAGAAAGGTTTAGTATTCCTGAAGAGCATAGACTGCATAACCAACTCTACATGCTGGACATCTACTAGGCCTTAGAATATACTGGACTCTCAATGAAATGTTAGTAGCATAAATTAAACAATCATTCCTGCGCCTTTAAAGTTCAAATCCAAATGTACATTTTACATATTTACTAGAATAATTTTCTTTATTAAAATTAAAATAAAATTAAAGTCCACACACATGAGGAAATGGGATATGTAATCTAGCCTGTAAACCAGCACCCTGCAAACCTCTGCACATAGAGTTATCAAGAGTGACTTTTCAGCCAGGATGAGTCACCTGTGAATGTGACATGAGGAATGATCACTAGCTCTGTGTGTCTGTTTTCTCCAAAGGTACATAGAGAACAAACTACAGGAGTTTTAAGTGAGACCCACAAGCTGTCCAGTGGGGGCTGGGAACCAATCAGAAAAAAAAGCTGTCATCCCTTCTTTTCCTTCTGCCTGAAGCAGGGTGGGTCCTCAAACTGTGCTCAATGGAAAAGCTAAAAAGACTCTGTTAAGGATGTAAGAAGGTGAGCTTCAATCTGAACAGTTTTTACTCTTTCATATATTGACAATTTTAGTAAGATTCAATGTAAAAAATTATGTTTTTCTTTAAAAGCTGAAAAAATAGTAGCCTAAAGAATTCTATCATACTCTTCCCAGGGAGAAAAGGAAAGGCTTAGAAACAAAGAAGCCACACTTGGCATAGCCCCTGCTCTGGCACCCCATGGGGGAAAAGGTAAATGTAAGCTGTCACAGGTCACCACAGGACTACAGACCTGAGTCTTTATCTTTGACTTCTGAATATGTGGAGATGTAGTGACCAACCTGGCAGAGGCAGAGCAAGGAAAGGCCTTGAGATGGTCAGTTATTTCCATAACCCCAATACATATATCTAAGTAGAGAAAGTACAGTATCTCATATTGTCTTGGATACTTTAAGCTATCCCCATTGTTCACCCAAAAAGCTACTCCTACTGTCTTCTGGGATAATTTCAAGGTTTTGTGTAAGTTTATTTCATTAGTTAGTATGAAAGGTCAAGAAGACCAGGGCTATTGCTTTACTCTGCAATGAACTCAGGGAAGGTACTCATTCCTGCCTCCTCACAAATGTGCTGTTAGATATCAGAGACTAGTAGGACAGCACAAGTGGGAAACTGGGGCCCAACTTTCCTACAGGATCCAGATTCCTGTGCCCATGTCCTGGTGATGACTGCTTAGAAGGGTAAAGATAAATTAAACATGAGGAGAATTGAAGGCAACAAGCTGTGGATATGACTTGTTCTTGGACTGTTTTTGATGTTTTCTGTGGGTTAACAATGCAGCTGGGACTGCATCAATCCCAGGTTACCTATGACCATCACTATGGTGCCAGAGGTTCACATTCTGACTATGGACTCAAAGGTAAAATGTAGGTTATCAGTACAAGGGCTTCTTGATGAGCAACAGATTCTATACAGTATATAGGCATGAAGGCTTCAACTTAAAAATCCATCTCCCATCTCAACTAGATGAACCCCAACCTGAGAGAACAGCACATTAAGGTCTAGAAAGGTCTGAGTTCAAATTCTGACTTTGACTCTTACTAGGTTTAATGACTTTCATCAAGTAAATTATACTCTGAACTATACCTTTCGGAGTTTTGTTCTTCAAAATCAGAATATAGACCCCACTTCATAGTGAGCTTAAATGTGAGCACATGCAGGAGGAAGCTACACATTGGAATAAAACCTCATTTTTCAGAAGCTTACTCTTCAGGGACCTGTCCTTGGGACTAACTCCTCCATGTTTCACTGTGGCTCTTCCCGCTTACACTCCAGCAGAGCCCTATATTTCACATTCCCTCCTACATGGCCAGCTCTAGGATGGAATGTTAGCTGCTTAACTGCCAGCCGTGATAGCACTGTACCCAGAATACTCAATCAATATTATCAGCTCATGGGAAAACAGAGGACTCCATTTTTCCAGGAATAATGTGGTAGGGAAGAAGGAAAGGAATTAACAAGATGGAGGTGGTTCTTGGAGCTTAAATGCTGAACCAGATGCTATCCTACAGTCTCTCTTTCCATCTCCTCCTTGTGCTTGCACCAAAAATGAGCCAGGGTGAAACTTGGGGGGCAAGGGAGGGGAAGAGGGTACAGTTTTCTTTTTTTGTTTTTAAGACACACATAAACATAGCTATGTTTGTCAGAATTCATGCAAATGCGTAATAAAGCAATGAAAGAAAATTCTTAAAATCACTAAGTGATTTTCCTATGTCTCTCATGAGGCTCCTTGAACAACACAGTGTCATCACTTACAGGGCTTTCAGTCTAGGGCCACTTGCCCCAATGGAGTCAACAGAATGCATACAGACAGAACAGGAATAGAACAATTCATAGCATCACAAATGGAAACACAAAATTGCTATCTGTAAACTTCTTTGAACATCATTAATTCATTAGCTCAGAGAAACTAGAAACAGAGTCAGAACTTGAGCAATTACTGGGGTAGTTATATCCACATAGAGAGTACCGCATCTTTGGTTAAAAAGCAGGATGGAGGAAGTTATCTTAGCCTTCCAACTGCTCAGCCAGTGCAGCTCAAAGCCAGCCACCATCAGCCACACGTGCAAGCGAGCCAGCATGCTGCCCACTGCAGAGGGCACACCAAATGCTCCATCCTAGCTAGCACTAGTTCTAGTTCTGTTCCACAGCCAGATTGATTTACATTAAGGAGAAAAAAAAAACAAAAACAACAACAAAAAAGGGACTGGGGGAAGGTCTCAGTACTGTTAAATGACACTGATCTTGTAGGGTGGAACAAAACAAGTTTAATTAATGTATGAGGGAATATAGGTATGTAGGAAAGGCAAAAATTGCAGGTCTAAAACTTAATTTTTACTTTAAACTAAGGCCAACTCTAATCCCTTTGCATTTTTCAAAGATAGCATTACAGAAAAATAAAAGCCATGGGTGCTTGGCTGCAAATTTTACAAAGGGAATAAGTACATGGATTTAACAATTTATCAATGCCTTTATTTTGGCTGTGAAATGTACTTTAAAAGACTGTACAGGGAGGCCCATGTATAAAAAGGTCTATGTGAACTCAAGTATAAATATAAGTGCAAACCAGAGTTTCATTAAGAGCTTTCCCATCCCTAAGTTCTATCATTTTTTGCTAAGGCCACACATCAATTTTCTTTTAGTAAGAGTCAATCACTTTAAAAAAAAAGTAATTATAAGCAATATGGAAGAAATCTGGCTGAAAATACTTTGTGTTAGAAAAGGATAGGAAAATATCACTTTTGATGAAAATACATCAAAAATAAATTTAAAATTTTTCTGAACTTAAAAAAAAAGTAATTTCATGACCATTCTGCAAATGATTCAATTTTCACTTTTTAAAAGAAGGAATTCATCAACTTTGCATCACGTTTGGGTTTTGTTTTTTTTTTTTTAGCTCTGCTAAAAAAAGGGGGGGCTGTTTGGTGGACATTCCAAAGTATTAAAAAAACAAAACATGTCTGTGCTAAAAAGTTATCAAGACTAGCTCTCTGCTGCATTTGCATTGTTATTAGGAATACACACACACATACACACACACTCACACTCACAAGCTCAAACACACAGTTTAATGTGAGGCTAGTACAGAAACAGAGAGATTAGACACAAAGAAATGTAAACAGCTCTCACATGCGAGGAAACTAGGTTACGAGAATCCCAACACCAGGCATTCACCAGTCACCATGGAAAACAGGAAGTGAGATGCATAGCAACCACAAGCCAAAAAGCAGAAAAGCGCATACCTTTAGCTTGGAATGAAAATCACGAGATTTCCTTCTGGCAAGAACCTGAATGTGACTAGACACCTGCAGGGTAGGGGAAGGGAGGAAAACAAAGGAAAAGCCTGTAACCATGGAGATGAAAAGCCCCCTACAACTGGGCAAGCCAGACGTACCTTAATGGCGGCTTGAATTTCTCGAACTTTCTTTCTTGCTAAGACCTGTATATGACTAGACACCTACATTGTTCGGGTTTATGAAGGGAAACAAAACAAAACAAAACAAAAAACAAAACAAAAAAAGGAAATCAAATATAAAATTGCTGCTCCTTAGGAAGGTTGGGGAGGGTGGGGGGGGGAGGTTATTTGCATCTCAACAAAGCTGTGCAGTTAGGAATACACAGTCCCAGCCAGACACCAAGCCCCCAGCACTGCTCTAAGCTTTCAGACTGGGTCATCACTGCAGTGACTTGTTTCAGGACAAAAGTTTGGGTTCGTATCAGTTTTCTGCCCCAGGAGAAATTAATAAAATCAAGGGGCATTGAAAAAAACTAATTTGGGGAAGGGTGAGACAGAGGGAGAAAAGGTTGTTTTCTTTATAAAATTTAAATGGTAGGGGTAAAAATAAATGAAAATATTTATAGCTTCTCAGCATCAGGAAGGAAAATCCCTTTTCCTCAATTTAGAGGAGACAATCCATAAATTAGCACGTTCTGAAAATCAAAAGCTGAAGCTGTTGGTTGTATTCTGATCTCATTAAGAGCTCTGGATTCTGTAGCAAATGTTAAAATAATACTCACATGTAAATTAGATCTCAAAGAGAAATGGAAAAGACCCAGTTAGCACAGCTTTTTTTTCCCCCTTATAAATATTTTTAATCCTTCCACTCTTTTGGGTATTGACTAGATGCCAAATGGATTTGCATATTATTACAAAGCGAAATGTGTGAATACAGCCAGCCAGCCAGCCAGCCTGTTAAAAATCTGGGTTGAAAACCACACGGATTTGCTGAACAGCAAATTCACATTGGAGAGGTATCACCAACTGCTGCCTAAAAACATCCCCAGGATGTGGGGTATAGAAACCTTGCCCAGCCAGCTTCTGAAACACATGATTCCATTGGGTAAACAAATCAATCTGCATTTATTTCAGTGGAACTTTGGTTAAATTTTGAAGAGTTTCCCAAAGAACAGGTCACTCAGTAAATGACCAGAGCTCCCAGGCCAGCAGACAGCCCAGGTCCAGCACCTGCAGCAGTAAGTAGGTAGGTAGGTAGGCAGGTAGATTAGTTCTGCTGGCTCTAAAATGTATACCCTATTGTTTACAATTTCAGCAATTACCTCTTTCTAAACTCTCCAATTTGAAATCACAGGATTTATGATAATATAAAAGATCCTTTGATATTTAAATTTGTCTTTGAATTTCAATTATTCTATTTTCCCCACAGTTTGTCTCTGTACATTTTAAAGTACTGAGCAGGAACTTCTCAATCCTCTTCACCCCTCCATCTGTGGCTCTAACTTTTGTTGTCTGTGATTCTCTGACTTGATGTGGGCCTTGGTCAGGGGGAACATTCCCACAGCAGACAACGTAAGCCTCTGTGCTGGCTGGAGGCCACCCCTTCAGGCTGACTCAGCACCAGGCCAGGCACAGGAAGCATTCCTGGGGGAAGGCCCAGCCCCCAACAACACTCAGAAAACAAAGCCTTCATGGGAGGAGAACCTGTGGCTACTGCTCAGCCTTAAAGTGACCAGATAGTAGCTTGTGGCTGTTGTTGGATAAAGTTTGGGGATCTATTATATTGACACAGAATCTCTCTCTATATATACATTGCCCAGGCTTGTTTTGATATTCTGGGCTCAAACAATCTTGCCTCAGCCTCCCAAATAGCTGGGACTATAGATGCGCACCACCACACCTGGCTGATCTGGTATGATTATCATTTTGAAGGTCCAATGCCATTATCATTCAGAAGGGTCAACTTTTAAATAATGTTTTTCTGTTAACAATTCACCCATCAGGTATTTTCTTTTGCCTTTCTTTTTTTTTACTCTTAAACACTTTTTTCTGGTACCAGACCTTGAACTCAGAGCCTGGCCCCTGTTCAGCTTGCTAGGCTGGTGTTCTACCACTTGAGCCATGCTTTCAGCCTGGCATTTTACTAATTAATTAGAGACAAAGTCTGTTGGCCTTTTCTACCCAGTTGTCTTCAAACAGATCTTTTAAGTCTTAGTCTCCTAGGATTACAGGCGTGAGGTACCTGCACCAGACTAATCACATTAACTTCTTATCAGTTCCATTTGTGAAATGGTTCATACCATAGATCTGGGCTGCTTTACATCTGAAAGAACCAGGGATGGCAAATCCCGGTCAAGAGCAGAGGAGAATTCCTGCTTCTGCTCTGCCCAAAGGTATTTAAGTTATAACAACATTTCAGTCATGGCAGCTATGACAAAAAGCTATAACTTAAGAATCACAGTGCCCAGCATTCACACCACTGGGTATCATATTCAACAGATACTTTAAGGCTGCTAGCATGAGTTCCTCATTGAAAGGATGACTAATTAGTAATCATTTCAGGATGTTTCAGGCACAGAATCTCCAAGTCTCCTGGTTTGTGAATATAGCTGCACCTGCAGCTTTTGTAATATTAGCAGATGAACATTTGGGCCAAAAAAAAAAAAAAGCAGCTTTGAATCACAGCACGGGGCAGTTCAGACACTGTCGTTGGCAGGGAAACTTTCCCATGTGCATAAGAGAACTCAGAGGCCACATGCTCAAGGGTCACTGAAATGATGAACAGTGGAAATGAGCCAATCCAGAACACCTACGACGCTGACTCCTTACAGGAACTGGAACCAGGGCTCCTAGAGCCAAAGCACAGCAGCCAAGGCAGCCCAATGCCTCCTGGGGCCATTCGCTGACATGCACAACTCCCAGGTGGGTTACTGTACCTGCTTTCTGGTCCTCGTCTTCCCTGTCCTGAGTTTGATGTATCTGGCTATTAATTCATTCCTACCTGAAAAGAAAAAAAAAAGTTTACAATTAGGTAGGTTACTTTAAAATGAAAATGGTAATAATAAAAATGCTTCTAAAGCTAGAGATGAAATTCAGAATTAAGAATTTTAAATTTCAGATTTGAGCTTATTCATGGTAGAAAAATAAACAGTACAATTGTTTGAAAAAAGATATTTACAAGGAAAATTCAGAGGAAGAGTGATTTTAAATTTTGTCCAGCCACCGAGGAAAGAAATTTGTCTTTTTAAGTATGCCTTTTTGCTTGCTTGCTTACTTACTAAATGGGTGGCCACTTATAAAAAGCAGTAACTATAAGAAAAGGATGAGCACAAGAAACCCAGTTCTGTTTCAGTCTTGCATTCACTTTTCTTCTCATCCAGGCCTGTGCTTGTAGATATTATGTCCAGATAGTGTCATTATGACCACAAGAGAATAAACTGCTGGAGCCATACAGCCCACTTACAATGGGAGGATGAATAGTATGGAGGCAGAGATGCAAAAAGTGGTTTTAGACCAGGGACTAACGACACAAGACTGTGCTAGTAGGAAGAAACAAAAACAAACAAAAAAAACCCAACCTCCTCTCCAAGCTTTATAATGTCATGGGAAAAAAAATGCTTGAAAGTGAATTTTAAAAAATTCTCCATTCTTACCCTCCCAGGAGATGAGAATGAGAAGTTTCAAACAGGTAACTTTGACAGAGAAGTACTGTAATATAGTAGGAAAATATACCCATAGATGCTAAGTAGGGAGATGTATGAATGTACAAATGAATAAAAATCCAGCTACAAGATAGAGAGAGCCCAACTTGTGACTCTTGACATACTCTACACAGTAAACAGAAAACACCATGTCCGAAGACTGCTTTGAGCTACCTTTACTCAGCTCCATTCTAATGAGAACATTTTGGCCAAAAACATGTCTGAAGTCAATCACTATGACATTGGTTCGTGTGTTTTACCACCCTGAGATTGTCCAGCCAGATTCTACATTTCCTTCAAAGCCTGCATCACCAATGCCACCTCAGGGAGGTCTCTAACCACTCACCTGGATTTGGTGTCCTTGCTCTATGTACAATCCCAAGGCCAAACCACCTGTGCTCCTCCTTCCTAACACATGCTCAAATTGTCAGAACTTCAACATTAGTATGTAATAGTGGTTTGCTGTTGAATTTCCTAGGTACTTTGCACAGCAGAAGAGGGTAAGAACTTAGCACCCAGTTAGGGATCAGAAAGAAAAAAAAAAAAACTGAAGAGAGAACAGTGCCTCAAATGACAGTGGCACATCTCTAGAGATAGCCTACAAGGCTGACAAGGACCAGCATGAGAATACTCATGTGAGCTGGGTGCCAGTGGCTCACATCTGTAATCCTAGCTACTAAGGAGGCCGATATCTGAGGATCACAGTCTGAAGCCAGCCTGGACAGGAAAGTCTGTGAGACTCCTATTCCCAATTAATCACAGAAAAAGCCAGAAGTAGCACTGTGGCTCAAGTGGTAGAGTGCTAGCCTTGAGCAAAAGGAGCCCAGGGATAACGCCCAGGCTCCAAGTTCAAGCACCAGGACTGGCGCACATGCGCATGAATGCACACACACACACACACACACACACCAAAAAAAAACTTATGTGAACCATGGGCCCAGACTCTCCAAGTCTGTCACCAATCACTGTCTACAATGTTACTGTCACCATAGCACTTTCTGTCACCTGCTCATTAGGAATGAGCAGGATGTGTTTACCACCAGAAAACAAAAGAATCATAAGATTCTGGTGCTAGAATCTCTTTGAATCTCTCTTTCCCACCTCTGAAAGTTCTAAGTCCACCATAAACCTGAGCCAGGATTTCTAGAACTAAGGAAGAAGCTCATTATTTCTTGAACATAAAGACCCTACTTGGGGCTTGATGTGACTTTCTTCCTCAGAGCTTCTTCTTAACTTACAAGAGCCAGGTTAGACTCTATGCACATGATTAACTGCCTTTCAGATATTGACAGCACCATGCAGAGCTGGAGTTACACAAAAGCTAAATTTCCCTTTTCTTTTGTTATCTATAACAAACTTTGGAACATTCCCAGACACACCATTGTGACTATCATTTCTCCATTTTCCTTTCAGAGTCTGGCAATAGACCTGGTATATCAGCAGAGTATGTTTGTATGTCAGCAGAGTATGTTTATCTTTTCCTCATCCTAAATGCTTTATTTATTTCAGCTAATATAGCCTAACAGTGTATTAGGGAGGGAGGGAGGGAGGGTTTGTGTGTGTGTGTGTGTGTGTGTGTGTGTCTGTGTCTGTACACACGTAGCACATGCGTGCACGCATGTGTGCTGGTATTGGGGCTTGAACTCAAGGTGTAAGCACCGTCCCTTAGCTTTTTCACTCTACCACTTGAGCCATTGCTCCAGTTCTGGCTTTTTGGTGGTTAACTGGAGATAAAGAGTCTCATGGACTTTTCTTGCCCAGGGTGGCTTTGAACAATGTTCTTCAAATCTCAGCCTCTTGAGCAGCTAGGATTATAGACAAGAGCCACCAACCAGTGCCCAACCACTACAATAATTTTTTTAAGGACAAAAAACAAATCATCACCTTACACCAATTGCCCTGTCCTTGTTCCCAGCTGGGATTTTCAGACCCAAATACAGAACTTCCCATTTATTTCTACTCCATTTCATCCTATTAAATTCAGCCTATCATCTCAGCCTGCCAAACTCTTCTCAGATCCTGAGTCTGTAACTTAAGGCACCCTTTAAGGTACATTTAGAGGAAAGGGATCTTGAAATTCAGTTTTGAGGATTGCTTCTCCAAGCATTCTTTTTCAAACTTTTGAGAACTACCAATATTCTCTCTAGTGTCATCAGGTCTACTTGTTCGTCTCTCAGATGGTTGTACAGATTTTGCAATTTGTCTCAAAGAGTTGCTGACAGCAGAGTCCAGCTAAGAGTGCCTAATTACCAGAAGCCAGACCTAAAAGAGAACGTCTGCAGACGAGCCAAGCATCCTCCATTTCAGGGTTTCACTGTGCACCCTGATCAGAGCTATCTGAGTAGCCAAGATGAAATAAATACAGGGCTTGGTATGACATGTAATTTTATCTGAACCTTATACAAATGGGAAAAAGGAAAAAATCTCCTGTCCCAAACTTACTTATTTTCTGTGAATGCAGATGAAAGAGCTTGAAGATGTGAAGTTTAACCCAAACAACTACTTAAAATTTCTTATGGCATTTGGACAAATAACTAATAAGATCAATATCCAGGATCACTTCATCTGACAGTATACCCTATAGCCCATGCAAATAGAAAGTCTAAAAAGCCTAAAATTCTTCCTAGTACTTCCCCCAGGTATTTGGGAGTGCTAAATTCTGAAAATAAGTCTGTGGTCATCACTTCCTTGAAGGCTTATCCTAATCTCATGCCTTCCTCTCCCCCCCCCCGCTTTAGCCTTATTTTGTGGGTACAGGTCCTGAGCACTGTCCCTGAGCTTTACTGCTCAAGATTAGTACTCTACCCTTTTGAGCCATAGCTTCACTTCCAGCTTTTGGTGGCTAGCAAGAGTCTCATGACCTTTACTTCCCAGGCTGGTTTCAGACTGCAATCCTCAGATCTCAGCCTCCTGAGTAGTTTGGATTACAGGCATGAGCCACCAGCACCCTATTCTTTGCTTGTGTGTGTGCCAGTCCTGGGGCTTAAATTCAGGGATAGGTGCTGTCTCTAAGCTTCTTTTGCTCAAGGATAACACTCTACCACTTGAGCCACAGCTCACAGCTTTTTTTGTGAATAATTAGGTAAAGGTCTTATGATGTTTCTGCCTGGGCTGGCTTCAAACCGTGATCCTCAGATCTCAGCCTCCTGAGTAGCTAGGATTGGAGGCATGAACCACCAGCACTAGGTCCATACCCTATTCAAAAACCCATGTTCTGGGGCTGGGAAGTTGGCTCAGTGGTAGAGCGCTTGCCTTGCATGCCTGAGGCCCTGGGTTCGATTCCTCAGCACCACATAAGCAAAAAGAAAAAAGCCGGAAGTGATGCTGTGGCTCAAGAGGTAGAGTGCTAGCCTTGAGCTGAAGAGCTGAGGGACAGCGCTCAGGCCCAGAGTTCAGGCCCCACGACCGGACCCAAAAAAAAAAAAAAAAACAACAACAAAAAACAAACACCCATGTTCTTTCTTTCAAACCACATATAGGAATAGTGATTATGTAACTCTTTTAAATATTTGAATTGTCTGTTTTATATAACAGAGCCTTCCCATAAACAGAGCCTTCCCGTAAACAACTTTTAGAACCCCAGTAAGTCCTCCTAAAGGCTTTGACACTGCTTACAAACCTAGCAGAGTTTCAACCTTCCTGATTTAAATCAATTACTTCACCATACAATCAAATACACTGTAATCTTTTAAATAAGAAATATCAATGGGGTCAGGGGTATGATCAAGTGATATAGTGGGCTTGCCTAGCAAATACAAGAACCTGAGAGCTATGCCCTGGTGGCTAAAGTCTGTAACCTAGTTAGTAAGAAATCTTAGATCTGAGCATTGCAGTTCAAAGCCAGCCCAGGCAGGAAAGTCCAAGAAACTCATCTCCAATAAACCACTCAAAAAAGGGAGAAGTGGTACTGTGGCTCAAGTGGTTGAGCACTAGTCTTGAGCAAAAGAAGCTCAGGAACAGCACGCAGGCCCAGTGCTGAAAGCCCCAGGACTGGACCAAAACAAACAAACAAACAAACAACCCTGAGTTTGAATCCCTTATGGTATGGCTTTGACTCTATTCTATTTGATTCTATTTGCATTTTCTATATGTAATTCTATGCCTTTGCAATTAAAACATATTTAACCATTGGAGAAGTATAGTATTCCAAACAATTCTGGAATATCTTTTGGCTGCCTGGGGTTGTATATATACTGGAATTATCACCTAGGTTCTGCTTAGAGTCTTGTCTACAACTCTGATAGACCATGCTGATCCCAATTTATATTTCTATAACCCTGCTCTCCAAGTACAGAGATCT